CCCTAAACCCTTAACCTAAAACCCTCTCCGGGCCATGGCAAGCCCCAGACGCCCTGAGGCCGGCACGCCAGAAAGACCGTCGCTGCTCCACGCGGCCTCCATCTTCACCAAGTCCTCCGTACGAACAATCCATCCGAAAAGGAGGGGTACCTTATTTCGGGGGTCCTTATAATCAGGATCCTACTATTTGGGGTGCTATTTTAGGGTCCCCTATTTTCGGAAACCCCCATATGAAGCGCCCGAAGTTCGAACCAATCCACCAAGCCGAACCGCATTTCGCAACCCACCCCTCCATCCAACTCCTGCCCCAGAGTGCCGTTAAACAACTACACTTTGGAGGATTCCATTGAAGGTTGAGACTCTCCTCCACCCCACGAAGAAACGGCAAAGGAAACCGCCCAGAACCACGCGAACCGGAAACGGTTCAAGACCCATCTCAGAAACCGAAACGAACCCAATATAGGGGCTTTAATACTTAGGGTTGGGATTTTGGGGCCCATGATACTATAATTATAGTAAAGAACCCCCAAAATAGTTCAGGTAATTATTACGGCCCCCATATGAATCAAGCTTCTCCGTGCTTTGGTGGTTAGAATCTCAGGTCAATGGTTTTGCGTGTTTAGGGCTGGGTGTCTGGAGCTCTTGTGTCTTCGATGTTCTTGCATCTTTTGGGGGTTGTAGGGATTTGTGTGCAGAACCCTGAACCCCATAAACCCGAAACCCCTAAACCCCAAACCTTTTAACCTTCAATTTTAGGCAACCGGGTTTTGTCAATCCCCAAGGCTCCAAGTATACAAATAGCAACTACTTTGGGGTCTAAAGCCTATAAAGAGTACCTACTTTGGGCTATTTGGAGCCCCAGGGAATGTTTAGGATCACCGGATTGAGGTTGACAGTCGAGGCATTTCGGGTATAGGGTCAGCGGTTTTGGGTTGACAGTTGAGGTTTTAGGGTTTAGGGTTTAGGGTTTAGGGTTTAGGCATATAGGAGCTTGTTTAAGGGTTTCGCGCCTCTGTTGTGGTGGACTGCGGATTCCTCCGAAGCCCACATTGTTGCTGAGGCCAGGTTAACCCTTAGCTCGATCAAGAGACAAACCTTGACTTGTACTTAGAAGTAGCCATAAGCCCTAAACCCTCACACCTCAACTTACATAAAGCCCCATGCCCCAAGCCCTGAGCCCAAGAGACAGAAACCCTAATATGATTAGGCGCCTTAAACAAATAGACCAGGGCTTTGGGATAGATACTCGATTACATTTACCAGGGTTTAGGGTTTAGGCTAAACGGGCTACATTTATCTAAACCCTAAACCCTAAACCCTAAACCCTTATAGATCTATATTTATTATTAGAGAGGCCCCTATATTCAAACCTTCTAAACTCTGTCTGCCCTATAAACCGCATAACTCATGTCCTGCAGTCCCCAAATGTAGGGGCCTGAATACTTACCTATACTCTTTTTTGTTGGGGGGGAGGGGGGTCCTTACTGTAATTATGGTATAGTGGGCCCCAAAACCCTATTCCAATTATTAAGGCCCCTATATTAACCCAGGCGAGCTCCACCCTGCCTGCTCTGATGTGTCGCGGATGTTGCGCAAGGGGCCCTGGATGACCAAAGAGCCTCGCCACGGCAGGGCATCGGGTTCTTCAAGGGATTTTTGTGGTCATGGTTTTTTTGCGCTGTAGGGCTCGGGCTTCAGGGTTTTCAGGGTTTTGAGCGTTAGTTATAGAGGGCTTAGGGTTCAGGGGCTCAGGGCATCGGAAGGCTGCTGGTCTTGGGGTTTAGGGTTTAGGGTTTAGGGTTTAGGCTTTCTTGGGGTGGGGGTTAAGGCTTGGGTCATTAAGGGATTCAAGGCTCCATAGGGTTTGGGGAAATTCTCCAAATTCAGTTGGATCTGCGTAGATTCGACTCACGGGTCCTTTGTTGTCTTTTCCTACTGCTTTAAGCCGAAACCTCCTGGCAACCTATAGTCTCCGTTGAAGTTCCCTTTTCTGGGGTACCTTAAAGGCACCACTTATACTATGTGTTTATATCTATATATACATACACACAACAAAAACATAATCACAATATGTGTATGTATACTGGTTCAGCCAAAAATCGAACTACAATGGAGACTACAGGCAACTTACCTCCACCTTGTGTTGCAGCCCGTCTTCTTGGAACTCGGAGGTATGTCAAGCGTTCGGGCCCAAACTCAATGACACAAGGAAACATCATTGAGAAAACACTTGATGTAATACGGGTGCTTACCTACGCTCTGAACCTGACTCCTTACACGTCCCTGCTTCAAGCCAAAATGGGTAGAGTGTAGAGGTTGTTAAAGCAGGCTCCTACATGCGAGTTCCAGAAAACCGGAGACTCTTGTCTAGAACTACGAATTCTAGGATCTTGATTTAGGAGCACTCCTATGGCAGCCCCTGATCCTGAGAAGTTTCCTGTATGTTCTGAGGCATGAAGATGGGACGGACAATTCGTCGAAGGATTGGCACATACCTGCATTAATTTAGGGCCTGGCTTAGTACTTCGGGGCTTGGGGTTACAAAGATCCAGGGTTCAAACGAGTCAGGTTGCATAGGGGATTCGGGTTTGCATGGGTTATACGGTTTAATACGAGCCGAGGGCTCAAAATACATATATTAACCTCAGGTATGCAGGCTGTCTAAGAATTGAGGGTGCAAACGACTCTTAGATTTAGAGATTAAGATTTCGGTTTTGGAGCACCTTCTACCCGAAAGACTCAAACTAAGCTGTTAAATTCGTCCTGGAGTATAAACCCAAAGCCCAAGTGTAGTCGACAGAAGGCAGTCTTTTCCATGCAACTCGGCTCTTCGGAACCGTCAATCCTGACACACAACTAACCGGTTTAGGGTTTAGGGTTTAGGATTTAGCGAACCCCAGACTATTGGATGTAGGGTTTAGGGTCTATTGGCTGCCAAAGCATGGTGCTTTTTCCTTGACGTCTAGCCCACGGACATTAGTAGGACGCCGGCCACAGGGAAGTCGAGCACGGTATTTCGTCCGCCCTCCAATCGTCTCCTGCGTGTCTGCTGGAAAGCCAAGGTTATGGTGCAGAGTTGGTTGAGGGGTTGCTTAAGAGAAGGCCTCTGGGGGTCCTGTATGAAGGGCAACATGATTATTCAAGGCTTAAGCTTGTTGTCTGAGGGTTTTAGGGTTTAGGGTTTAGGGTTTTAGGGTTCGGACTTGTTCGGCTTCTGTCGGTATAGGATTATGAAACGGTTTGTAGCCGTAACCAACATGAGGAATGCTTGGCTTAGCCCTGGTAGTACTCCTCAAAGTAATACTACCCAGTATGGTTGCCCTGATAGCCGGATCAGGCTTTCGGCAGCCTCTATACCCTTACAAACCCGATTGACAAAACCCTATCCCTGAACCCTGAACTAAACCTAGGTATTACCCGCCTCGTGGATGCGGGCATCACCACCGCCTGCAGGTGCTCCGTCACCTCCGGACCCCCCTCCGGCTCCTTCGATGCGAGGCTTAAGGTTGAGGCTTGGGAGTTTGGGATCTAAGTCTTAGATTTTGGGGCTGAGGGCTGCAGGCTTGTAAGAGGGTATCTGGCAGTTTAGTGAACAGGGTGTTCAATTCAGAGAGAATTCAGGGTTAGGCTGTTTTCGGGTCAGGGTGTCCAGTGTAGGGTTGCAGGGTTTGGGCGTAGCAGTTTCGAGTTTGGGGCTTTGAGGTTGGCTGTTA